TTTGTATTGTCCCACAGCTCCCTCAAACTTTCCTCCTGCTTTTTAATTTTTTTTTTTCCATTTGTTGTTCTGTTTGAGTGTTTTTCTCTACCTTGTATTCTAAGTCACTGATTCGGTCTTCAGCTTCTTCTAATCTACTATTTAACCCTTCTAAGGTATTTTTTATAACAGATATGTCATTCTTTATTTCCTCTTGATTTTTATGCATAGCTTCTACCTCTTTTTTTTAAGCTGATATCGTTACCAGTGAGCTCTTCATAATTTGTATTAAGATGCTTGTAGTTCTCACCAAATTGTTTGAGTACCCTTAAAATCATTGCTTTAAACTCTTTATCTAACAAGTTGCTGTCTTCCATTTTCTGTAGTTCTTTTTCTGGTGATTCCTCTTTTTTTTTCCTTTGAGTGCTGTTTCTTTTTCTCCCTATTTTAGCCGTCTGGTAGTTCTAGACCCGCTGAGGGATGTTTGAATATGTACACACCTCACTATATATCAAATAAGGGTACTATGCCTCCCAGACTGTTTAGTTGCATGTTGTCACTTGCCTGCTGTGGATCCTGGAGGATTGACTACTGGGGGCTGGTATTGGTGTGTCCTGATAGGTGCTGCTGCTGGATCACGTGAGTCCCTCTGGAGCTGTGTTTCCAGCTGGTCACTGGTGCCACCTGTAGCTGTATAGCTCAGGCCTTGTTGGAACCATGGTCCCTGCCTGTACCATGGGCAGCTGTATCACACAGTCCCTTTGGAGACCAATTCCACATCTATTTTTTGGGTATTTGGGTCACACAGGCCTCTCTGGTGTCCCAGCACCCCGCAGGTCCCACAGGTAGCTGGATTGCTCAGTCTCTTTGGAGACCAGGCTCCACATCTATCTTGTGTGCAACTGGGTTGCACAGGCTGCTCTGGGGCCCCGGCACCTCGCAGGTACCACAGGCAGCTAGCACAGTCCCTTTGGAAATCCAGCTCTATGCCTATCTTGTGGGAAGCTGGGTCGCACAGACCTCTCTGGTGCCTCAGCACCCCACAGGTCATGTGGGTAACTGGATCACACAGTCCCCTTGAAGATCTATGCCTGGCTCTATGCCTATTTTGTGGGTAGCTGGGTTGCACAGGCCTCTCTGGTGCCCCCGCATCTTGCAGGTCCCCTGGGCAGCTAGATCAGACAGTCACTTTGGAAACCAGGCTCTATGCCTATCTTGTGGGGTTGCTGGGTTGCACAGGCCTCTCTGGTGCCTCAGCACCCCGCAAGTCATGCGGGTAATTGGATCTCACAGTTCTCTTGGAGACCCGGCTCTACACTTCTCTTGTGGGAAGCTGGGTTGCACAGGCCTCTCTGGTACCCCAACTCCCTGCAGATGCCCCAGGCAGCTGGATCATACAGTCTCTTTGAAGATATGGCTCTACGCCTCTCTTGTGGGCAGCTGGGTTGCACAGGCCTCTCTCCGGTGCCCTCACACCCCCCAGGTCCCGCGGGTAACTGGATCACTCAGTCTCTTTGGAGACCCGGCTCTACACCTCTCTTGTGGGCAGCTGGGTTGCACAGGCCTCTCTGGTGCTCCTGCACCCTGCAGATACCATGGGCAGCTGGATCACACCGGTCCCTCTAGAACTTTGGCTTCCAATTGCTCTTGTGGGCTACTGGGTAGCACAGGCCTCTGTGGAGCCCCAGGTTCCACCGCTGGTGGCTGGAGAGTGCTGCTGCCCCATGGGACTCAACTCCTTCTCAGCTTTTGCTGTAGTTTTTGGGGATCGGTGTCAGCTGCTGGTCTGTGCTTCTGTTGCCTGGGGATGGATGTCTGCTCCTGAGCCTCTGTTGCTGGGGTTATATCTCAACTCTAACTGGGCTGCTACTGTGGGGGATGGTGCTGGGCTCCTGGCCATTTGTGGCTTCTGCAACTGGCACCTTGACAGTTCCACTACTGTACACTGGTCTGTGTTGACACAGAGTGTCCACTGGTCTGATGGTGCCAGGTGCACTGGTGGGCTCTGGTTGCTGGGCCCTGACTGCTCCCACTGCCTCCTCCCAGGGAAGACCAGCGATCTTCCAAAATGGTGGGACCTCCCCGCAGCACAGGGATAAGCACCCTGGAGAGCTGCTTACTGTGGTAGCTGTCTGCTTCCATCCACAGCACAGAAACTTTCTGCTCCATGTCTCTGCACTGCAGGAGTTCGGTCGTCCACCTTCACGTCCACTCACACTCTCTCACACACTAGCTCACTCTCTCATACACTCACCCTCCCTCTGATCGTGCCCACTACCATCATGGGTTAATTTGAGTTTTTATTGTTAAGGAGGTTAAGCATATTTGTACATGTGTATTAGAGACATTTATATATATTATTTTCTGTGATTTGTTATTTTTATACAAGTTTCCTTTTGAATCTTTGTCTTTTCACAAAAATAATTACTTAAAATAGCTCTTTGATATTATGCAAATTAAATTTTTCTATAACTTCACACCCACAAGGATGGCTATCAGAAAGGCAGCTAATAACCAGTGTTGTCATGGAAGTAGAGAAATTGGAACCCTTATACACTGCTTATGGGAATATAAAGTGGTGCAGCCACTTTGAAAACCATCCAGTATTTCTGCAATAAGTTAGTAAGCCAATAATTCAACTTTAAGTATATACTCAAGAGAAATAAAAACATATGTCCACACAAAAGCTTGAACATGATTATAGCAGTATTATTCACAATATCCAAAAAGTGGCAACAACCCAAATGTCCAGCAATTGATGAAGAGATAAATGAAATACGTTATATATGCAGTGGACTATTACTCAGCAATAAAAGAAAATTAAGTACAATGCCTGCTACAACACTGACGAACCTTGAAAACATGCAGCATGGTTGATGCCAGCTGACACCTTCTAGTTGGTATTTCAGGCAGATGCTGATGACTTTTGGTGAACTTGTGAACTGAGGTGTGAAGGACCCCTGTCAGAGGTGTTGCTCACTTGAGCAGCATCAGCGGGGTTGAGCTTACCTCACAAAGGGGTCATAGATGTGACTACATGGCTGGGGAGAATAGCCAGAGGGCAGAGGCAGACCTGAGCTCAGGTCCCACTGAAACTCTGACTAGACACAGGCATGAATTGAGTGTGCTGGGGACTCAGAGTGGCCAAAAGGTAAGAACTGGTAAGAGCTCAAGTCCCTAGGAAGGAGAAGGACACCCGTGGGCAAGGGCATCCAGCTTAAGGGTCAGCAAGCAGGAAATTAGTGTAGAGCTTAGTTCTGAGGTGGGTCTGGGGTATAGATGAACTCAGTGGGAGATGACAGCAATGTGAGGGTGGCCTCCAAGTATGCCCCAGGCCACTTATTTTAGGGATCATGGAGAAGAAAGGCTCACAGGTCAAAGTTTGCTGCTCAAATCGCATGTCTATATAATCAATGTAAACAATTAACCAAGAAGTAAAGCAATGAGAAGGAACAGGTTAACATGCTTAAGAAACGGGCTAGCTATGTTATCTGCTGCATCAGCTCCTCTAGGTGAGTCTGCCTTGCTCTTGCACAGCTGGGCATGCTGTGTCGCCTCCTGCACAACCCAGGATTTGGCATAAGTTTTCTGGGGAGAGAACACATGGGGCCAGAATGGCATCACCTGTGGGCAGCAAATGAAGACTTTTTGAGTATTGCATGTTGTGTGTATCACATATGTACTTAATATCTGATAAATGTCAGGGTTACCTTCTATGTTCAGTTTAGGCATGTGGTACTTATCACTTCTTTGCAATGAACACAGCTGGATTTTGCCTGTTAGGCTGCTTAGTCATTGTTTACTCTTAATCATTTTGTGTGTCTCACCAACTATATCCTGATTTATCTTTCCTAAAAATATTCAATTAATTTTTGTTACAGATGTTTCTCCTTTTTTCCCCATTGACTCCCTCCTCCTGCCCGCCCCCCCCCCCCCGCCAGCATTGTTGTGTATGTCTATTGGTTATATTTATATGCATAAGTTCTTTGGTTTATCTCTTTCCTCCCCCCCACCTACTCCTCTGAAGTTTGTCAGTCTAGACCCTACTTCCATGTCTCTGGGTATATTTTGTTCATCACCATATTTTTTTCATTATATTCCACAAATAAGTGAGATCATGTGATACTTGTATTTCTCTGACTGGCTTATTTAGCTTATACAGTAAAACTGAATCTCCTCAAAAGCAAATGCACATTATAAGCTGTGATCTATACAAATCTGTGTCAGCTTGAGTGTGTCTAAAGTTTCATGTTAGGGCAAGCAGTGAAGTCAAGCTCTCACTCTGTCAAGTGGCTGAGGTGTTGGACTGACTTTTTTGTGAGTCTCATTTTCCTCATCGTAAAAGGCCCAGTGAGGAATGGCGATTATTGAGTGGAATAAAACATGTTCAGTTCTTATTACAGGGTTTGGAAAGACTCACTAGTACTCAATAAATAGATCCCAGGGTGATTACTAATGAATCAGACTAGAAAGAGGGGAGATGCAGGGCATAATTTTGAGGCCTGTACAAAGACTTTCATATGTACTCCTGGAAAGGAAAGAAGAGACGTTTGAGACATGTCTTCTCCCTGTGGCAGTGCATCTGCCACAGGTCTTCATGCCCATTTGTGCACACAGACTTGATTCAGTTAGTCACCTTTACTGGATACACAGGAATCTTGCAGAGAAGGCAACAAGGATCATCTGGCAGGGAAGAAAGGTGTGTATGTGTGTGTGTGTGCGTGCGCGCACACACACGCGCTTCCAGGTATGAATATAGAGGTATGCATTCCTCCAGAAAGAAAAGAGCTAAGGTGTGAAAATAGACTGAATTTTGACTGCAGATTTCTCACATGGCTACTCTTTGGAGGAGAGAGAAAACCCACAAAAGACAAAGTTTACAGAGATTTTTTTCCTTTTTATCCACAGTAGTGTTAAGAGGAGCTGGGGAGAAGAGACATCAGGGCTAGCCCAGTCTGTCCCACACCCCAGATCTGGAAGGACAGAGGGAACTCAGACTGTGTTCCCTTGACTGAGGTGCCATGGCCAGACTCTACCTAAGCCTACTAGTTCTGGTGGCCAGTATGGTCCTTGCATCCAGAGGTGTGCATGCCTGGAGCTCACCTAAGGTGGTGAAGAAATTCCAGGACATCCCAGAAAGCTACGTCTATGTGCAGCAGGCACTGTGGTTTGCTATGAAAGAGTATAACAAGGCCAGCAAAGACAAGTACCTCTTCAAGGTGGTGAAGGTTCTGAAGTCACAGGAGCAGGTTGGTGGGCATTTGTGACTCAGTTGTCTGCATGTCTGTGATTGTGGTGGGACCATTATTCATGAATGGCTACTGAGGCCAGGAAATGGAATATAGCTCAGATATGCTTTTAGACAAATATATTAATTTTATTTTAGGAGTTTTTAGAAGAAAATTAATTGTAATTTAACCTTTATTATTCTGAGATGAAATAGAAAATAGTCATTAAGATAACTTAAAATTGATTATAGTCACATCATAAAACATTAAAAAGAGATTAAATTTGAGAAAATTTGCACTAATATCAACAAAATGACTGATGATAAGGATAAGTTATACACTGAACAAATAAAGAAACTGCAAGTCCAGCTTTCACTGATAAAGAGAACTAAGGCAGAGAAAGGAAGGATTTTCTCGATGTGAGAAAGACACATTGACTGGTTGCCACCCACACGACCCCAACCAGGACTGGGGACGAACTGCAACCAAAGTACGTGCCCTTGGCTGGAATTGAACCCGGGACTCTTTGGTCTGTGGGCTGACGCTCTAACCGCTGAGCCAAACTGGCCAGGGCAGGAAGGATTTTCTTTACAGAAGAATGCCTACTTATAGATGTAAAAGAATATGTAACTAGAAAATCACCTTTTGCAACCACCATGGTAATAACTAATTCAGGCAAAGATTATCAATAAGTTCTAAAACCATTGAGTGAAAGAGAGCTGGAGAACAAATTTCTTCAGGGATTGGTTAATTACAATGGAGAAAAGATACCCTTTCTGGTAAATACCTCACTCAACAAATGCACCAACATTGGAAGAAATTGACATCATGTGCCCTTGATGTAATATCACTAAAAGGACACAAGGACACAACATGACGTGTTTATGTTATCCTTGCACAAAAAGCGTAGCCTGAATGTAGTCATGAGGAACAATTCAACAAATCCATATTATGGGACATCCTACAAGACCATTGAAAACTATCAATGTCGCCCTGGTCGGTGTGGCTCAGTTTGTTGGGTGTTGTCCCATGCACCCAGGGTGTGTGTGTGTGTGTGTGTGTGTGTATACGCCAGTTTGATTCCTGGTCAGATCACATGCCCAGTTACAGATCAATCTCCAGTGGGGAATGTGCGAGAGGCAGCTGATCAATGTTCCTCTCTTTCATCAATGTTTTTCTTTCTCCCTTTCCCTTCCTCTCTCTCTAAAAGTTAATAAAATATTTTTAAAAATCTTTAAGAAAAAAATCAATGTCATGAAAGATAGGGAAAAAAGCAGAGAACTTGTTCTCAATTAAAAGAGACTTAAGAAACATGACAGTAAATGTAATATGTGGCCTTGTATTATCTCTTGGATTAAAAACATTATAAAGAATGTTATTAGGGCAGTTGGAGAAATGTGAATATGGATTATACCATAGAAGTGAGCATTGAACAATGTAGTATTTCCTGAGAAAGATGATTGTGCTGTGGTAATGTAGAAGGGGGTCAAGACAGGGATAGTGATCAGTTGGTGTCCATTGAGTATGATTTAAATCAGTCTGTTTTCATGACTTGAAAATATCCCTCAAATATAAAGCAGTGGTTCTCAGCTGGTTATGGGTTTTGTTTGACAGGGGCATTTGGCAATATATGGAGACATTTTTGGTCATCATAATTAAAGGGCCAATTTTTCACCTCCAGTGGGTAGAGGCTAGGGATGCTGCTGCTAAATACCCCACAGTACACGGAAACTCCTCCCCCAGAGAGTGATCCAGTCTCAGATGTCAGTGGTGTTAAGGTTGAGAAACTTGATATCCAGTTATAAGAAGATTCTAGTACATATGTTTGAAAGTTGTTGAGTTAAAAAATGAAAGTGAACACTCCATTTCTTGCATTTTCAATTCTCAAGGGCACCATCAGAAGCAGTTTGCTCTGTCCTTCCAAACATATTCTATACACTTACTGCCTGCCTAGTTTCTCATTTTCTAATGTGGTCAGGGAAGGAGGTTAATTCAGTGATTCATACTGAAAACTTAAAGATAGTCATAAAATCACACTTGACTACCACACCCATTTGGTTCCATGCCCAGGTACTTTATCTAGAATTTCTAAAATGCTAACTATATTTTCTGAATTATCTTTTATTATTCTGGGGTCGGTTATTGTGTTTAACTTGGCCATTCTCTTTCATATGTTCTCCCCTCTACATCCTGTAAAACTTTTTGTCTTGTTCATTTTTTAATAATAAAAGTCTATATTTACCATTGCGTGGCTCCATGTCCCCATGAGGCACTTGTGAGTAGAGGGCAATGTGAGCTCTGCACAGATGAGGAAGATACCCTGGAAGTCAGGAGTTTTGGAGGGTATATCACATGGAATAAGGTATGTATTGTTAAAATTGCCAAAGCATGGAAGGCTTTAGAGAGAAGCAATACACTCTAAGTATAGTTCACTTCTGAGATGCCTTTTCTATTGATTAGGCATAAAGATGCTAAAAGCTTTGTTCTTTTCTTCCTTAAATCCAATAGAATTCTATGGAAAATAGTTTTCTTGCTTTATCTTGAGACAGTTGCTGTTACTTTAAAATTAAATACTTCAATGAGAGAGAGAGAGAGAGACAGAGAGACAGAGAGACAGAGAGAGAGAGAGAGACAGAGATCAAAGCAAGAAACCTCTCCCACATGTGCTCCAAAACTGGGAAGAAAACTATAGGAGACACAGTCACTGACTCTAAGTAGACATGTTTATTTATCAGAGAGGACTATTTCTGCATTATGCAAACTATGCATTATTTTATGATATCCAAATTTTAAATTATTTATTGACAGGTCACAGATAGTTTGGACTACTTTCTTAAAGTCAAAATTGCCCGAACAATGTGCAAGAAAATTTTAGGAGAAAATGAAAACTGCTTATTACAACAGGATTCCAAAATGAAAAAGGTATGTGGCTGAGACAGGGAGAAGTAATTTCTATCATTAGGTTTGTATTCTAGACAGATAAAACTGAAAAAAGCAATTGTGCTTTAATTTTCAAGTTTCCTTTTAAAATTATATTCTAGTCATATTCATAATTGATGGCCAAGTTCTAGACAAAGAGCACTGTTTTTATTGTTTTTCTGACACCACCTTCTTTCAACCCCTACCAATGCTTGGCATGTGCTTGTGCGCAAGCGCGCGCGCACACACACACACACACACACACACACACACATTCTTAGTGACTTAAAGCAACATCAACTCATTATTTCTCATTTTTCTGCAATCTGGGCTGAGTTCTGTTCCCTGTGTTGTGTGCTGGGGGTAAGAATGTTCCAGATGTCTGCTCTACCTACATGTCTAAAGTCTCAGTCAGGACGGCTGAAACAGTTGAGGGCTGGCTGCCATCTTTCTTATTCTGTTCAGGACTCTCCATAGGGCAAACTTGCAGGATAACCTGTTATCCTGGTTTGTCCAGAACTAAAAGGTTTCCTGAGATGTGGGACTTTCAGTGCTAAAAACAGTGAAAACCTGCAAAATTGGCATGAATTGATCATCCTACATTAGGGCTTCCTTACAACATAATGGTTTCAAGGGAGCTATACTTCTAGGAGGAGGAAGCAGAACCTGCCACCAGTCCTACTTAGGTCTTGGCTTGGAAGTCCCAGAATGTCCCTTTCACCACATTCTTCTAGTCAAATTAAGTCACAATGTCAACCCAGATACAAGAAGAGACTCCCCTTTCCATGGGCAGAACATTATGCATATACTAATAGGAAAGAAATTGATGGCAACTTTCTTGGTGGATCATCTGCTGGAGGGTGCTTACCCAGTATAAAGCATGGCCTGAGCAACTTCACAGGCTTGTGACTGCTTTGTAGCCAATGATGCTATAAGGAACTTTGCTTGGCTGGTTCTAATAGTTCAGCTGCTGTACAGAAGGCCTGAACATTTTGGGACTGTTCCAATACTCTTAGCCCAATTGCCTCACATGCCATTTATAGTCTTATATGTTCAGTCTTCTTCTTCTCCATGTCATCAATGAGAAACAATCCTACCTAGGTCTGGGTGTTGCCAGGCCTCATGCTCAGATGGGCACTGTCACAAATGGGCCAGTTCATTTTTCAGCCTCAGTAAAAAAATTTCTTACCTTCATCATATGGGCTTAACAAAGACATTTTGGACTTAAATGTAATTTTTTTAAGTATACTTAAATATTTTCTAAAAATATGTAAAATAAAAATATAAGTGATAAAGGTGATGGCATACTCCTCTGGGTACCTTGAGGACCTTCTAACTCCATTTCTTCCCTAGGAGTAACCCCAGGATCATTTGTGTGGATATCTAGAAAATAATCTCACTATTAATTTATATAAACATAATCTTTCTTAACCTTTTTTAAAACAACTGATGATACACTATGCATACATATATATATGTGTGTGTGTGTGTGTGTGTTTATATGTATATTTTTATCCTCACCTGAGAATATATTTTTCCATTATTTGTTCAGATAGAGTGGGAGGGAGAGAGAGAGAAAAAAACATCGACGTGAAAGAGACACATCGAGTGGCTGCCACCCGCAAGACCAACCAGGGCCAGGGACAAGCTGCAACCGCCCTTAGTGGGAACTAAACCCAGATCTCTCTGGACCGCAGTCCAACGCTCTAACCACTGAGCAAAACCGACCAGGGCCACTATGCATATTTTGATGTAACTTCCCTTTTCACCTTTTCAAGTTTGTCTTGGCAATATTTTTACAGAAGTTGATTTTCAATTTTTCCCTTTTATAAATGGAGACTTTCTTTCTGTATTCTTTTTTTCTTCCTCCCTCCCTTCTTTCCTCCCTCCCTACCCTCCTTCCTTCCTTCTTCCCTCCCTCCCTCCCTCCCTTCACTCTCTCTCTCTCTCTCTTTCTTTCTTTCTTTCTTTCTTTCTTTCTTTCTTTCTTTCTTTCTTTCTTTCTTTCTTTCTTTCGAGTTTTATGTATATGTTACCTTTTCAATATATACTTAAAACTGGCACAAGGCATGGGTAAGCATAAATCATATTGGTGATTGCCAAAAGTTGCCCAGACATGATCAAATAAAAAATATTTACATAGTCTAATGAATAGCAGGCACCGCAGCAGGACTTCATAATGCAAGTAGATGGCTACATCCAGAGAATGCACACTTGCTTTAAATTTTTAGAAATTATTTTCAATTAAGTAACATTTCAAATATTCTGGTAGATACTAAGAATGATATATCAAATACCCATGTGCCTGCCATACAGATTTTATAGCTGTTATCATTTTATTACATTAATTTTATTACATTAATTTTATTACATTAATTTAAATATTTTAACAAGTACAATGTCACACATCCATCCTGCTCCCCTCTTAAAGATAACCATTGTCCTAAAATTGGTAAGTGGTGTTCCTACCCATTAAAACATTCTTTTATCTACATAGAGTTTTATGTGTTTTTCAAATTTTACGTACATTTGAAACATTCTCATTTTATTCATGTTGGTATGATCTGTTACTACTTATTTATGCCAAATGATTTTTTTGGGACTGTTGATATACAGAGAAATTGACTAAAAATTATTTTTATTTGTTGTATATTGGGCACTTGTATGAGTATATTATATTGTAGTTAACCATTTACTTGTTTTGAAAACTTTTGGTTGTTTTATCTTATGTTTTTCTCTCTTGATCTTTTTTTATTGAATTTATTGGGGTGACACTGATTAATAAAACCATACCAATTTCAAGCATACAGCTCTATAACATATCATCTGCATACTGCATCATATGCTCACTACCCAAAGTCAAGTCTCTTTCCACCAACACTATTTATCCCCACTTTGCCCTCTTCCACCTTTTCTTATTCCCCTTTCCCTCTGGCAATCACCATACTGCTATTTGTGTCTGTTTTTAAATCCTTTCAACTTTCTCATCTAGCACCCTAACCCCTCTCCCCTCTGAAAGCTATCATTCTGTTCTCAGTCCCTACAAGTCTGTTTCTATTTTATTAGTTTATTTTGTTCATTAGATTTCTCATAGAAGTGAAATTATATGGTATTTGTCTTTCTTTGATTTTTGATTGTTTAAAATTTTTCACTCTTCACAACAATGATGCCGTGAAGGTAGTGGTGCATGTTAACTCTCACCAGTGATGACATTGGGAGTGGGACAGCCATATTGTGGATCATATAAAACTTAAACTTTTGTTCAGCAGGCCACACATGATACATGACTTCAATTTTACTCTCCACAGTGGTTGAACTAGTATATCTTCCATCAGTGGCATGTGCAATTAATTATTTCACCTCGGCTTTGCCAACACTTGGTGTTATGGTCTTAAATTTTTCCAGTCTGGTGATGTATGTGAAATGTTATCTCAAAATGTCACTTTGAATTTCCTTGATTTTTAGTAAGTTTGAGATGCTTTAATATTATATTGCTAATCTTCTAGGATTTCACTTCTCGAATTGGCTTCAAAATATCCTTTTCTCCTAAGAAATCAAAGGTTGGGAGAAAACTGTTGGGTGCCATGACCTAAAGTGGAGAAATACACCTTTTCTAAACCCCTGAGCTCATTATCCTCATGCCTACCACATTCCTGTCTCTATCTTCCTTTCCCAAACCCAACTGGAAACCAGAAGATGCTCATTAACATGGTCTATAGAGGCCAGGGGGCAAAGGTGCCCATTTGCCACAGACCATAGGGGTTGTTTGTTTTTCAAGATATGCTGTGATGTGTAGAGACAAGGAGTGTAGACCTGGAGGGACAGATGGAGCAAATCCATCCTAGAGGCAAGAGTGGAGACAACAAGATTAGTATGAGTCTATTGTGAGTCTATTGGAATAGATCAGGTGAGAGAATATGTTAGTTAGGATGGTGAAGGTATTCAGTCCTGGATGTCTATGAAAAGGTTGGTCAGAATTTGCTGAAAGATTGGCCACAGAGTGTGCGGGGAGAAAAATCAAGGATGACTTTAAGGTCTGTGGGGTTTGGAGGCAGTTCACTCTCTTGGAGTTCTCTTATTTGCTCATTCTGTATATCAAGTAATTATTATCAGTAGACTTCCATCACCTTGCTCAGATTCACTTATGAGAGATTCCTCTGTCTCTTTTTTTTGCATGGGGTTCATTCCTATTTGATCCTAGAGATTTGAATGATTGTGTTTTCTTTATTTATTGGGATTTAAGAAGGCAGAAAAAGTAAACTTGTAGGCACCTTAAAAATAAATTTAAAATTTTTATATTATACTTTTTATTTATATTTCTTATTTATTTATTTTCGTTACAAATGTTTCTCCTTTTCCCCCCACTGATTCCCCTCTCCTCTCCCTCCCCACCCTGTCTCCACCTTTGTTGTCCATGTCCATTGTACATATATACATCCATATCAGTTCTGTGGTTAATCTCTCCCCCCGCCCAACCCCTCTTCTGGGGATTATCAGTCTGTACCTCACTTGTAAATCCCTGGGACTACTCCATTCCTCAGACTGTTATGTTTATTATATTCCACAAATAAGTAAGATCATGTGATATTTGTCTTTCTCTGCTTGGCTTGTTTTGCTTAGGATAATACTTTCCATGTCCCTCCATGTTGTCTCAAAGGATAAGAGATCTTTCTTTCTTAGAGCTGCATAGTACTCCATGGTGTATATGTACCACTGCTTTTTTTTATCCATTCATCTACTGATGGACATTTGGGCTGTTTCTAGATCTTAGATATTGTAAATAATGCTGTTATGAAAATGGGGGTACATATATTTTTCTGATTGGTGTTTCAGGCTTCTTAGGGTATACTCCTAGAAGTGGGATCACTGGGTCAAATGGAAGTTCAATTTTTAATTGTCTCAGGTAACACCATATTGTTTTCCATAGTGGCTGCACCAGTCTGCATTCCCACCAGCAGTGTATTAGAGTCCCCTTTTCTCCACACCCTCACCAACACTTGTTG